CCACCACCATTGGCCTCAGATTAAAAAAAAAAACAGCAGCCGACGAAAGCCCTCAAAATTGACGCCGTTAGAATTTCTGAACCCAGTTCTCTATCAGATTCAATGCACGACCTCACCGAAGAGAGCATCTCATCGTGAGGCAGGGAATAAAATATCTACACTAAATGCTGACCAACTCCAAGACACTTCACTCTTCAGAAAGTCCACCTCCGACTCACAGTTTAAAACCCGATACGGGTCTGCGATGCACAAAGGGATAATTGATTCTTGAGGTACATGGCCACCTGATTCTGCCAGGTGCCTTCTCAAAAACAATAGCCCTGTAAGGCCATGATTCTGTAGGTACGTGGCCACCTGACGCTGCCAAGTGACTTCTCATAAACAATAGCCCTAAGAGGACAAAGTGCATTTGCGACTTTGTATTAAAGAATACTTCTAGATGCATACCCGCCGACTTCTTGACTCTACTTTCCTACTGGTTCAAGGCTAACCCTGGCACAGTTCTGAAGCCCGGTCTGTAACCTTCTTCACCACGACATCCACCCGCTTAAAGTTTTTGTTTATGACGGCTTCAGCTCTTTAAATAGACAAGCCTTCAGGTAAAAAGACAAAAAAAAAGCATTTTTTGTCCGACAGCCCTCAAACACCATTGTCCACCAAATAATTGATCAGTGGCTTCAGTTGATTCCCCCTTTTCAACATCGCCTCGGAGGTTGAAGGACATCCACACATTCAGAGGAAAAGAGCGTCCTCTACATCTCCGTGGTCTAATATGCCAGCATTCTTGCCCGCATCACCAACTTCGGGAGTCTCAAAGTGGACTCCACGCAAAACTTGGTGTTAAGTCCCAAGGACTTGGAGAGCTCCGAGGGTACGCTCACCTCGACAAGGGCGGAGAAGCTACCAGCCGCCGGGGTCACTTTTACTTTCGTTTGACGCAGTGTCGGAGCACCCTCATCCGCAGGAACTTTGTGACGTCCCCAATTAACCTGCACATTTCCATGTACCCTTTCCCTACGTGCGTCGAGCTGTGATGCAGTAATACCGATGTATAATATTGTTATTTTTATTATATTTAATAAATGTTCTTCATATTCTCAAAGTGATGTTCTGTCTCCTAGTGGGCTAGGATTATATTCATGGGACTACAGTGACAAAAGAACTAAATTCAGTTCTGACCTTAAGTAACGTATTTGATCGGTGTGACTTGGCGGCGCCGAAAAGTCATTATTTGTGGGAAGTAAGGAAGGCACTATCGGGTTAAAATGAAATGCAAACAGAGGACCGCGTGGTTCTTGATACGTTCTGTGCCTTCAGGAGGCCTCTGAAAACGGATAGAACTACGCGGTACAGAGTAGGGCGCCCGGCGAGGGTCTGCATCCTGCTCCAATCTGTTTGACCCTCGCCCAGCACACCCCAAGCTTCGACGCTGTGCCGGTGGTGCACTGGAGGTTCCGTCAAAACCACTTTCGATGGCTCGACACCACGTGAGGAAGCTCGCCGCTCGCAGTAGGAGGAGGCTGTTGCGCGCGCGCCTTGCGCGCGCGTCCGTGGAGCATGACCGCATGCGTCACGCTCCCTCCCAACTTGCGCCTTTTTATTACACATTTTTCAACAAGCATTATTCTGCAGGAGCCACACGCTCTTGGTCCTTCAAGACGACAACTGCTTGGTTCTGATAACCGACGTCAATTAAACTATACATACTTTACCTGCACGAACAAACGGCGTTAACTCCTATTTCACGCTTCTGATGCACGGGGTGATAATTTAATGTGCTCTCTGAACAAGATCCTGGCCACCTGCAAAATGTGGCTTGTCAAAAGGAACTTTTTGCAAACCATTACCGTATTCCGCGTACCGCACTATTTGAGCTTTTGAGGCATGCTTTTAAGCGTGCGCCCGAATGATACCGTTACGCGGGGCATGTGCTCAAAAGCATGCTTCAAAAGCTCCCTTAATGCGGTACGCGGAACACGGTAACGGTTTCCTAAAAGTCCCCAATGATAAAGTTACTGCATTTAGTTTAAATGTTTGGCGAATGCTGGAGCTGGTGAACCAGCATTTTGGCGAGCCCGGCGATACACACGAGACACAAGAACAAGAGGGGAAACAGGGCGAGCGCTATAAGCTGATATATAGAAGTTTGTCGAGTAATTGAGGTTATTAGGCGTCAGCAGCCTTCTTTAGTTCTCCTTCTTCTTCTGTCTCAAATATCGCACAGTTTCTGCTATACTGTTCGCCAAAACAAAATCCCAATGCGTACTAAAAAAGAAAAAAAAAAAATGGCACAAGTCTGGAGGGAGCATGGCACTGCAGTCATGCTACACCGACGCGCGCGCAAGCAGCTTGTTCCTCCTGCAATCAGCGAGTTTCCTCAAGTAGCTTGTTTCAATTCAATAAAACAGGGTGTGACGCGGACGGAACTTCCAGCGCACCACCGCCGCAGCCTCGAAGCTTGGGTTGTGCTGGGCGAGGGTCGAAAACGTCGGAGTAGGACACACGCCCTCTCAGCGCTCTGCTGTCCACCCCGCAGTTTTATCAGTTTCCAGAGGCCTCCTGGAGACGCAGCATGTGTTGACGGCCACGCGCTCTGCTGTTCGCATTTCATTCCAACCGGAGAGTGCAAATGCACATTTAAAATATTTCAACGCTGCTTCTATAAAGTCTAAAGGTAAAATGATAGAGGTATCATTAAACCAATATACACCTCTTGAGACTTCAATATGTTTGTGTTGTCCTGTAGCAACACCCAATTCTCGGTAAAGGTTACTACGTATATACATACAACTATTATTGCTGTACATCTTATTTGTAAACAAGAGCATATATGTTACATGTTTAACCGATATGTTAAATGTATAACCGAAAACCTTAGCAAAAATTGCTGAACGTTAGGCATTTTAAGACGGCAGAATATGACTGGTATAAAGAGAACTGCCGAGAAGCATGTAAAAACTTTTGCTGCACAGCATGGCACCCGTAGTAGCGCTTTGACATTTACGCCCCTTCTAAGAACCGATTCAATGAAATTTACAAGGTGCCGCTCGCGCCATATCATTCCAAACATTTTCTAGCTCAAAAGGGTATGGTGTTCTGCCGAAGGCAGCTTACAATTACTTGGGCTAAAATAATTTATTCGGTGCCTGAAAAAAAAATGAAAAACGTTCCGAAGCAGTGCTACATAATAGCTGATTATTCCACACTAAACAAATAAAACTATTACGCAAGAATTTTTTTTTTTAATTTGCGACTGTTATTTAACCTTATTTTGGCTGGCAAGTGGTCAGATCGAAAACCGCTTATATGTGAAGCAGTCTCTATTTAAAAGATGCATGCTTCCATACTATCAAGTCATCAATTTTGTGACAAGTTGATCCACGACACCTCTATTTAAGCTAATAGAAACACTGTTTGGTGGCATTATATTATAATTTATGTATTCTGAAGGTCTAGTCAACCTTTTGTACTGGTTAATGAGTCGTAAGAGACCCGCGTGCGTTTATTATTGAACACCATGGTTAAAATCGCGCACAAAGAGACGAGGACAAATGGGGAAGGAACACAGAACACAGACAGGCGCGCACTCACAACTCTAGTATATTAAGTGAAGAAGAGAAAGATGAAGCACTGTTTTTTACAGGGGACAACGTCACCAGGGGGAAACAGATCACCCGCAGTCAAATGATCGCAAGAAGGCAACTTCTTTTTCACTCAAAGCAACCGACGGCTGGCTAACGCAGCGATCGCTCAGGCTCAAGATGGTGAACGCCTTGAGCACCTCCCGTGTTTGTTTTTCTTTGAAGCGGCCAATGATTGATGTTTTTTCTAAAGATGGTGTGCACATACAGGTTTTACAGTGCACCGAAAGCTGATCTCCTACATTAGATGTTAAAGAAAGTTTATGCTCTCGTAGCCGGTCATTCAGACACCGTCCCGTCTGTCCAACATAGCATCTTCCACATGAAAGAGGGATGCTATAAACAACGCCCGATGAACAGGAAACAAATGGCCGCACATGTTTTTTGTGGCCATTTGTTCCCTGTTCATCGGGCGTTGTTTATAGCATCCCTCTTTCATGTGGAAGATGCTATGTTGGACAGACGTCCCGTCTGTCCAACATAGCATAGTGTCTGAATGACCGGCTAGGAGAGCATAAACTTTCTTTAACATCTAATGTAGGAGGTCAGCTTTCGGTGCACTGTAAAACCTGTATGTGCACACCATCTTTAGAAAAAACATCAATCATTGGCCGCTTCAAAGAAAAACAAACACGGGAGGTGCTCAAGGCGTTCACCATCTTGAGCCTGAGCGATCGCTGCGTTAGCCAGCCGTCGGTTGCTTTGAGTGAAAAAGAAGTTGCCTTCTTGCGATCATTTGACTGCGGGTGATCTGTTTCCCCCTGGTGACGTTGTCCCCTGTAAAAAATAGTGCGTCATCTTTCTCTTCTTCACTTAATATACTAGAGTTGTGAGTGCGCGCCTGTGTGTGTTCTGTGTTCCTTCCTCGTTTGTCCTCGTCTCTTTGTGCGCGATTTTAACCATGTTCAACGTTTACCAACTCGCCCAACTTACTACTCTTCTATTGAACACAAGTTTATTTTCTCAGAAAGGACATATGTACTCCAAAACGTTATTAGAAAGTACAATCGCATATGTTCTTGCGCTTAAAATAGGCGAGCAAATCTGAAGAATAAGTGTTTTACATCATTCGCGAATCAAGTTTATGTAAAGTGGGTGAAATATTTGCAAAAACGATTAGTTTTACGTTTGTGTTCTCGTGAATCGGTCATTTTGTCATTTCAAGTTTGAAAGGCCCAAATAATATGAAGTCTATTTCAACTACATATAACAGTAACAGTTAATAAAAAGCAAGGTCTATTTCCTGCATTTTCTGGGAATCGCAGCAACCCTCATTTTAAAACTAGAGGAATCAGAATACAACAGAACTACTGGCCGAATACCTAATAATAAGGAAATACCCTTCTATTCCAAACGCAGCTCGTCCGACAGGCAACGTCGTCTATCCAAGGCTTCTCGAGACAAGAGGACTGGACGCTGAGAAGATTCTCTACATTCAAGATGACATTGTTCTAAGGCTTCGAAAGACTTCGGTACTCACAGAAGGCGTTGTGTTTAGCGAGAACATTGATGGAAGAAGAGTCGACAAAATTGTAAGTTTTCAATTGGACGAATGAACACATTAAATATAAATATTTCTTTCAATACAAATTAATATGCTTGGAGGGTCCAATGATGTATACCGATTTGCTTTCTATGTTCACTGACAGAGTGAGAACGGCAGAGCGCGTTTTTCGAGCGCCCGGTTTCCAGCCCCTGCTTTATGCCACCCGCCATGCTTTGACTGCGCGGCGACGCTCGAGGTGCTCGATACACCGAAGGATAGATCAAAGGTGTGAAGCTAGCGCTGGAGGCGGGATATCTGAAGCTCCTCTTTGCTGTTTTTACCTTTTCAGCGACCATAGTTCTAATTCAGGTGACGCCGGATCCCGCTAAATAGCGTTAAACAAAAAACGAACTCGTCACGTGATTGTTTTTATGGTTTTCGCCTTTCCTTTCTAATCCTAGGATCGCCAAAGAAGACCCTATTAATCGAAATTTCGGAGGAAGCGATTCGAAAATCCTGAGGAAGCGATGCCACACAGGGGCAAAGACGTGAATTTTTATAGTTTGTTTATCTCTGACGTTGCATCGACACAAGCGTTCGAATCGCAACCACAAAGCGGATACGCGATCGCTTCCGTCGTCTAATGTGCGTGAATTTGTATTGGACGTTTAAGCAGTCGCATTCGCAAGAGTCTCGAGAATGGGCCTCCTGCGCTGCCCAGAGGGTGCTGCGAAAGGGACTTGTTAGGACTTGTTTTGGGTAGTACAATATTTAGCGTATCAAGCTGTCACGCATGCAGCAGCGTGCCTGCTCTGGTGCGGAGCGCGAGATCACGATGAAAATACAAAGACAGAACAAAAATTCGAACGCCGTCAAAGCTAAGACGCTGAAAGCGTGAGCCAAGAGATGCCGTTTCACACGTTCCAAAGTAGACATCAAAAAGAAAGAAAAAAATTAAAGCGTCGCGACTCAGGTGTTGTGACGTAACCACCCAGAGATAAGAGACGCGTGCCCTAGCGGTGGTGTCATGAATTTGGCCTTTTCGATTCTCCTGCAACGTTGAGTTTGGCCGATTTCTGGCGTCCAAAGGTATTTTTTTCGCTCTTTAGCACCGCATAGAATTGAAAAAGCTCGACCAACGTGCCATAGGTAGGGCTATGCTCAATCAGGTGAGCTTGTACTACCATAAATGAGGGCGCTACAGTTTGTTCAAAGCTTCAGCGCAGGAGGCCTATACGGGTCGACGGCCAGTGTAAATGACGCACGAGTCTCACCGCAGCCAGCTCTACCATTCGATGGAACGAATCAAGCCGCGCCTCTAGTGCACCGTCACGGCACTCGTCATCTTTGTGCGTTTGCTATCACCGACTAAACGAACCCCGCGCAACAACAAATTCCTCATTATCCTGAGCTTGTTTGTTTTTTGTTTTTTTTCTTACAGCGAAGTTATTTATGGTTAGGGTTCCGTGGTTTTGTTTTGCGTGCGTGACTAAAAACTTTACGCTATACTTCGTCTCACGTTAGTATGGACTATTGTTGACCGCACGTGCTAAAAGCGCGAGATAGTTGCTTCGAATGAAGCCTCGGCGGCTGCACGAGCGCTCGTACAGCGAGTGCTCCAGTCAAGGCAGTCAAGGTTGGCCGCTCGCGCTAGCACAGCATTCGCGGTTAGTCCATGCTAAAGTGAGACGAAGTATAGCACCGCACCAACGCGCCGCACCATACCCACGCGCCGCACGTGCCGGTGTGTGCAGCAGTAACTGTTCTAAAGCAAAAGCCTAAAACAAATGGCACCTTGAACGCGAGTTCGTCAAGGCTTTATTTTGACTATTTACTTTGAATCTTTTATACGGGAAAGGCGTGCTCGTGCGCCGCATGGAACACTATTCCCTGCAATCTCCGTCAAATTTGGGTAATTTAGCAATTATAATGTGCGTGACCAAAAACTCTAAGCTCGCACCGCCCTCTCTTTGTCGTCGTTCCAAGCCGCTTGCGTGCCTAGTTTCCTTTCCTTCCGCTCTCCCGGGGTGCTGGTCCCGTCGCGCGTGTCTACTTTCCGCCGGGTGGCGGTCCCGTCAAGCATGTCTGGTTTCTTCCGGCTTCTCGGGGCGGCGATAGTCCTTGACGAAAATATATAGCATATAAAACCAGAAAACCAAGCTACCCGTTCTCCATTTTTAAGTTCACTTATTTTCTCTCGTCATAATGGGGAGGGGGGGGGGGGGGGGGGGGGGGGACGCGGATAGTCCGGACTCCCGAAAATCAACGTGCCTACGAAGAGCAACGGCGGCAAAGGCAACGAGAATGTCAGCGGCGGCGGCGCTGTGTGTACGTTCCTTTCGGCACAATAACGACCGATCAAGACAATAAATGTGTTCGTGCCTTTGTTCAAAATTTTGTGTCACGTCTGTGTCGTGTGCTGAACAGCTTCGCTGGTCATCCACCTGCGCAGAGGGGAATGGCTTTTAATTCTTTCTGTGTTTCACGATTTAGCTGGTGTAAACAAGCGCACAAAAACGAACAGGCGCCATGACGAGCAGTTTTGTCGCTGCATGATTTTTCGCTATTAGATTGTCACGGAGGATGATGTCGGACCTCATGTAAAACGGAGTGTTGAAACGCTGAAATAATAGGTGCTACGCGAAGTGCACTTTCGTCTGCTTCTTGAGCAGGGGGTGAGGTGACGTCAGAACGCCAAGATCCGATTGTCTCTGATCGAAAGTCAAAGTCAAATTTGGGGGTTTTACGTGCCAAACCAACGACGGGCATCTGGCACGCCCCAGCGGAGGACTGAGGATTAATTTGGACCACCTGGGGATCTTTTGACGTGCAACCGAAAGCTCGGTTACACGGCGCCTTCTCCGCAATAAGCCTTCGTCCTATTGCGGGCACCTCGGTCGGGATTCGAACCCGCCACCTGGGGATCCGTAGGCCAGCGCTCTCGCCTCGGAGCCACCGAGGCGGCTTCTGATCGAAAGTATAGTGGGTAGACCTTAATGGGGGCCCGCTGCCCTCACGTCTACCCCCTATCCTTTCAATCGAGCCAATCAGAGCTCGGTGTTCTGACGTCACCGCTATCCCCTGCCCAAGAAGCTGGCGAACATGCGCTCCGTATATTTCGTTCCATTTTAAGCCGCCTCGGTGGCTCCGAGGCGAGAGCGCCGGCCTACGGATTCCCATGTGGCGGGTTCGAATCCCGACCGAGGTGCCCGCAATAGGACGAAGGCTTATTGCGGAGAAGGCGCCGTGTAACCGAGCTTTCGGTTGCACGTCAAAAGATTCCCAGGTGGTGGGAATTGATCCTCAGTCCTCCGCTGGGGTGTGCCAGATGTCCGTCGTAAGTTTGGCACGTAAAAACCCCAATTGTTTTTTTCGTTCCATTTTAAGGCCACACGCATCCGATATTACGAGGTAATGGGACGAATCAACTAGTTTCAGAAGCGCAAGTCACTACGTATGCGTTTTTTGTTTATGATTGGTTTAGTGATGATAGAACACGTCCAGAATCATGACGACCACCATGATGGTGCGCTTTTTAAGCTGTCTGATTGGTCTCATCAGCTCGTTACGTCGGCTACGTTGGATTTGAGGTGAAAGCATAGCCGTTGTTTACCACCATTCAAATGTTGGCATGTAATTAGAACTAAAGGGCGAGGGAAATTATTCGATTTTCTACCTTCACGTTAAAGAAAATGGTGTTTGATTTAGTGCTGTGTTAGCGGCTCTAACAGGTGACGAGGTTGATTTGATTTTAAGAGTGTGACTCAGACTTGTGACTGAATTTCTGCATGTGTCCATGTGACGTGACCGTCCGTTTGGTCTCAATATTTTTTTTGTTATTCTACCAGCTGTTATTGCTAACTCCATGCGGAAATAAAACTTTAGTTGTCAGTCAGAGCTATCTGTGTGTACTTCGCTCCAGACCGTGTGTTGTAGTTGCTGTTGTTTCTTTGCACTATTATTGCCCCACGGGTGCAAAAACTAATTCATCTTTATACAATGTTAACGTCTACGTATGCTTCGTTATCAACACGTATATTATATAAAATATTCTAAGACATCTACGCATTACGGGACCAATGAAAGAGTACCCCTTTTTAAAATAAATAACGGTCCACTCTGTGACAGCACGCGCGTTATATCAATGTTTCTTTTTCTCTTTGTCAGATGAACGGAAAGGAGCTTGAAGCAGACATGTATCACGACAGAAATCGAATGGCGTCGGTCAACATAAAAGAAAGGAGTGGCGGGATTGAAGTTGTACGTGAAACTCGGTTTTTTCTCTGCATATTACGTTAGAAAGTGACCCGGTAGAAATAATTTTTCGTCCAAGTGGCACAAAACATTCGTGCGGTCAATATCATGCCACGTCTTTAGTACAAACAAAAAATAGTGTGAAAGAAAGCCAATGAATAGTTTAACAAATCAGAATAGATGTAGATGGAATCGATTTTCATTCAAAATGGCTAAAATGGTCATCCAGTAGACAATTACCAAGACTGCACTATTTCGTATTTCTTTATTATATATTTATGTTTGTAAGTCGAACTCACCAACAAGTCATTTCTGTAGCGGTGTGTCTTTAGTGCTTCTAATCGAATACCACGGGGGTCACCGCTGGCTTCAACACTGTAAAGAGAGCCAGCATGTGCTGGCTTTTCCTTGCTTTGGGACGTCTATGGATCATACAGCGCTATTCGAATAGACCCACTATTTGCACATCTCTAATTTGTTACGATGCTAAATTTCTGTTGCCAATTATAACTCCGATTTTTGGGCGCATTTGTAGTACTTACGACACTATTGATTACAATAACCCTATTAAAGAACGTTGGACGGACATGTGAAAAAATAAGATAGATTGGAAATAATATACTTTAATTAGTTGCAAGATAAAGCGAATCAAGAATAACACTTAAAATAGGAAAAAGTCGTCTTTGCCAGACCAAACGGTCTATTAACGTTTCAAATACAGGCCTTTTTGTGCGATCACAGACTAAAAAAAATGCAGAAACTTATTTAAGGATTCTTCTAGTCCTGCGCTAAGTTGGTGAACATAGGTGTTGAACCTTGAACAGCCAAGCGAGAAAGACGGCGAGAAGGAGCAAGCGCGCCCCATATTTTGTCATTCATTGTAATCACGAAGCAGTCTCTGTTAAACGAGTATGGAAGCCAAATTTCACAGTTCATCTATTTGCTTCATTATGAAGCGGTCTAAGGCAGGACTTCACCAATACCAATATTTCGCATGAAAACACAAGAAAACATATTCTAAACTGATTTAAACGATAAGCGAAATCCATTTCTTGGATATCGTGAAGCTTCGATGGAACGTTGTGGTGACATGTCAGTATGAACAGCGCCACAACGGGAAGTACGCTCATCCATATAGATTACTTCGGCCTGAACGTAGTACCGACGCTCTTTGGTGGACAAAGTAACAGCAGAGATATGGCCACCATTCGTTGACGTTTCGGGTGGTCTTTTTGGCAACGCTGGTTTCGAGTGGTTTGGAGATTGTGCCCGTGCGACGTAACGTTGACGCTGCGAAAGATTGATTTAAAAGTGCCGATGCCGAATATGCCGATGACGAGATGACCGCCTTGATGGACTGCTACAAACTTTATCACTACGAAATCAACAGAACTATACCATTGTTGCTAAAGGTAGACGGACCGCACAGTTCTGCAAAGCGGCGCATATGTAAACAAATCGCCACGGCGTCTACCGTGGCTTCGGGGAGGCTGGAAGGAGCCGACGTCCAGGAAGATACGTTATAACTAAAAGAGTGTCAGTAAGAGCCACGTAAATACCTGCGGTACCAGTGCGGAAGAGGAACCGCACTGGTACCGCGCTCTTGGTGACCGCTTCGAGAACAATACCTTGCAGCCAATTTTATGTACCTCTGGGCCACTAAACAATCGCAGATTGATGCTGACGTGTCGCCCTGCAGAATATTAGACCTCCATTGAGTAGTGCCCAAACACCGGCCTAAATCGGCATATGTTGCCGCACCGTCATGTCGGAATAAGTAGGACATACTAAAAAAAAAAAAAGTGGAAGCCGTTTACAACTCCCTGTAACGCCAAATCGGAGCGCAGCTCTTGAGGAGGAGAAGGGAAGGGTACTAAAGGGAGGGTAGACCCCTCCTCCTCCTCCTCTTCCTCCTCCTCCTCCCTTTATTCTTGAATATGCTCCGGGGGGGTCACCAGACCTCGGGGGGAGGGGGTCATGTGACCTTGGTGGGGGGTGTCACGTGAGTTCGGGGGGGAGGGGGGGTGACGTGAGTTGGGGAGTCGCGTGACCTTGGGGGGTCACGTGACTCTGGGGGTCACGTGACCTCTGGGGGTCAGGTGACCTCTGAGGCTCGTGTGACCTTGGGGGGTCACATGACCTCTGGGGGTCGCGTGACCTTGGGATGACCTCGGGGGTCACGTGACCTCGCGGTTACGCCGACGGCGATGCCGACGCCGCTCAAGCCGGAAACGGGCGCCTAAGAGCTGCGCTCTAAAACGTTTATGTACCCATGTTGCGAAGGCAATCCACATAGCGTTTAGTCGAACTCTGTAAGATTAAAGGAGCTGTGCAACGATATTAAATTGGAATGTTTTTCTCTCTAGACGAGCTTACCGGCACACCTGGGACTCAAGGATACTCACACGCAACGCCATTGGCCAAGAAACTCCTTTGTTGCGGTGTAATTTCAAGGACAAAAGCGATCATTTTCATTCAATCTCTCCTTTGCAAAATTTGATGACGTAACTCGGGGATCGCAGTACACCCAAGTGACGATATCCGAATGCGGTTCATAGATTGGACCCGAGCATTACGTGGGCACTCGACTTGGGCTCGTGACAATTGCTAGCTCGAGGAGCATTCGGGTAGTGACCCGTGTCCAATCGCTGCAACGACGACCACAGCCGAGCCATAACAATGTCTGGAACTCAGCGCGTGTCCTGCGCTTTGCCAACCCCAGCGCGTGGCTATGATCCACACTGGCGGAATATAATCGGCTCCAGATCACGTGGCCGCCTGTTCTGGCTGCGAGTTGAGGGGGTGAACGCTGCTCGTTTTTCTTAAATTTTTTTCTGGGACTTCTATTGCGTGGGGTGAAAAACGAACGCGTGTTTCATAGGTCATTAACGTTAGGGATCCGTTTTAAGCGGTATTTGTGCACAGTACAAAAATTGTTGCACAGCTCCTTTAATATAACACACTAAAAAAAAAGATAGAACCGATGAGTGTCCCTTTTGAAAACAGCGTTTGCCACAGCTAAATCTGAAAACAGGCTAGAGACAACGAAAGGAAAGACTGGCCTTCTTATACCAAAATAGAGGTTAGGGCTCAAGCTCTTGATACGGGTAGGGTTCAGAAAGGTCGCGTGGACATATTCCATTCAGCAAGCCATCTATTCGTAGGCAGGTAATATACTACAGGGTCGCCGGAGCGTCGGAGCAGCCCTGCGCCGGAGTGCCTTACTAAGCCTAGCGTTTCCAGGCAGTCCTCGGCGGACGGTTGGTCCGTGGGATCGTTGTTGTAACTTTTTTCGGGTATCCGTAATTCCAGCGTTTGTCTCCTTGGCGTTCAGTTTAAAGCATCTGTTCCTTTTCTCTTGCTGCTTGAAGTCGGGACGCGAGCAGAGAGCACGCAGAAATCGGTGGCCGTCGTGACGACTAAGAGAACGGTGTTTTTGGCCATGTTAATTCGATCGTAAAAAGTAAGTACAGCTTTGTAGCTGTCGAACGTCTCGTAACTTCAACAGAACTTACGAAAACTCTGATTCGTGAATACGAATTTGTTCTTAGGTTTTGTCGTGCGCACTTTTTCTAAGCTCTGAGTAAGCTATGGCTATGTTACCTGTTGCGGACGACGAAGACAAGGCAGACGGGTCATACATATAGGGCTCTAGGCCGAATTGCATCTCGGACACCACTGCCCCTAGTGATGGAGCGGCGTCTTCGTCATCCTTAATGTCATCAGCCACCGCTCTCGTCGTGCTGGTCGGCCATCGCACACTCAAGGCAGCTCCGCCGCTCCGCCGGCTCCGCGATATGCTACAGCTCTCGGATACTTCGACCAAGCGAGATTCTAACGCGTTGACGCCTCCAAGTAGGAAAACTCATAACTGCGGTACGCTTAACCCTGCACGGAATAATGACGTCGAAACCTTGCCGGATCTCCCGAGATGCCTTGCACTTTTCGATGGCTGATTTTGAAGCGTTCGCAAAAATCCAGTCATTTAGAACAAAATAAATGAAGCCATCTGCTTAAAATGCAACTATGCGATTATTAATTACAGGTTTCTTTCATCCTATTTAACTATTTCCTTGGTGTTCTTTTTTTGTTCGTCTTAAGTTTCGATTCAGCAATCTTTGAAATGATTAACAGGAACATTTGGTGTTCGTGATTTCTCTTTGCCTTAGCCATGAACCCGGAGTATTATTTAAAGGGACGATGCAATGATATTCAAATGAATTTTTTTTTTTTTTAACTTTACACAATTCAACTTGCACTAGAAAAGCCAACTATACTCCCAAGCAACTCCATTAACCAAGAAACCTCTTTGCTGCGGTGTAATTCAATTATAAAAGCAAGCTTTTTTTTTCAGCCACTTTTTCGGAAAACTTGATGGCGTAACGTGGGGTTGGCTGTGTCGGCAAAATCTCCCAGTGGCGGTATTTGAATGCGGCTCATACATTGGATCGAGCATTGCATGAGCACTTGATTTGGGCTTGTTCTAATCGATAGCTCGAAGAGCATTCGCGTAGTGGCTCGTGTCCAATCGCGGCAACAACGCCAATAGCCGAACACTAGCAATGTCTTGAACCTAGCGCGTGCCCTGTAATATGCCAGCCTCAGCGCGTGGCTAGGATCAGCACTGGCAACATATAATCGGCTCCAAATGCCGTAGCCGCTTTTTCTGGTTGCAATTTGAGGGGCGAACGCTGCTTCTTTTCTTTTATTTTATCTGCGACTTTCATTGCGTGCCGAGAAACATGAACGAGTGTTTAATTTGTCCTAGACGTCAGGGATTCATTCTCAGCGCTATTCGGGCAAAAAACAGAAATCGTTGCACCGCCCCTTTGACATTAGGAGCTATAGAAAAGATACAAACTTGTTAAATAGGGTAATTACCTAAAACGCTTCAGTTAAAGGGACGCTGAAGAGGTCCTTAAGTTTGAACAAACGCTAAAATTTGCAATGTAGACTCCTTAAAAATGATGTGTCTTAAGTTTTATTCCAATCTTATTAGTTGGAGTGTCGTAATGGCCAATTACAACTTCGATGTCAATCCGCCCGTTGTGGTGCGCCGACGGTAGGAACGCGCGCAAGCGGAGAGAAAAACTAGCAAAAGTTACGTCAACTGCGGGATTAGATGACCCTTACTCGCCACCAAGCTTGCTCGCGGTTGCGGTCAATAACGTCAAGACGCTCCAGGCGGATAACAGGTGGCAGAGAGGACTGCCACATGCCCGGCGGCAATCGCTGCACGTATTTTTAATATGAATGCAGTTTACGTTTACTTCTTGCCATGATAGGTGCATTAAACCAATTGAGGAGACAAAAAAGCTTCAGAAGTGCGTTCCTAACTCAGATATCTTGAAAAGTTATTCAGCTTCCCTTTAACGTTTCACATTTACATGTTTAGGAGCATAAGGTAGTTGGAGAAATGCACTGGACCTCAATATGTAGTCTTGGCGGGATCCGAACTTCTGATAAAACAATTTCGATTGGGCGCTACGGGTCGACAAAGGCTATTCATGCACAGCGCTTGTGACCAAAACTGGACCGGCAAAGCCAGCAAAGAGTGCTCGTGACGTCGATCACCCCGCTCCTCGCTCGCGTCGCGCTGCTGGCTTACTATGCGGTGCAGATATATGGGTTGCGGGGTCCGCGAGGAGTAAAGGGTTAGACGTCATGGGCGCGGTTTGCGGATTGGGTTTGAAATTTAAGCCGCGTGCAAAAGTGATATTTCTAGCCCTTTGGCGTCTACTACAAACTGCTTACTAAAACTCTTCCGTCACAGCAAGATTGTAATGAGATCTGTGTCAAATCTTCAACTACATGTTGGCCCTGAACATAAAAATATAAAAAATGCTAAGTACGCTTTTTATTGTGCATTTTCCTAAAACAATATCCTTTTTCCATATCGTGGTCCCTCTCAAAATGCACCCTGTATAAACAAAACACGCACCTAATAAGTTAAAAAAAACTTTACGGTGTTTTGCTTTTTATGATGGAAATAATATGGAATGGGCTGGTGCAATCTTAAAGAATGATAGTAACTATTTATTCACATACAAATAGAATGCAGATGACAATTGATTCGAATTTCGAGAAACGTTATATACCGATCAAATGAGCATCACCATATGATATAAGATTACCTTGTTATGTTTCTTGAAGAATAGTTGCGAATGTGATATCTATAAAACGTTTTCTCACTCATAAAGGACATTCCTCACATTATCGCAAAGAAAATATTTTTCTTCTGGTCATTTTTATTCAAACTTTATCCCACAAGTCACACATAAAATCTTTGACATGCTATGCTTTCCTTGAAAAGAGCCCACCGTTTAATGAATGTTTACATATCGTGATGTTTTTGCTCTACTCATTTTCTTTGAACCATATAAACAGAAATAATAATAAGTGAATATGTTCAACTTTGCAAGGCTAGATACATCCACCTTAAAATTATATGACTCCCTCCACAGCAGATTTCATTCAATGCCAGTTTTGGGGTAGGTAGCTCAAATATATAAAAGCTTGATTTTGTTCGTTATTTAAAAATTAAAGTACAACATAAAAATTAGTTCATTATCTCAAATTTTACAATGCCAATTGGTGAATAAAAACTTATCACTGGAAATGTGTGTTTAGGAATATTTTCATCATCTTAGTGTGGCTGGAGTGCTTCGGGTTTAAACGTAAAACAATTAAATTTAAACAATCAAACACCTGATACACAGGAAGTGTTTTTCTCTTCACAGTAAATTAATCCAGCTTGCCTACGCCCTTCCATTGTTTTGTGTAGAGCCTTTTCCAATATCATTTTCTTCTCTTTAAAACACCTATTTTTATGGCTGCTCTTATTAGAAGCCTTGAATTGAGTTTGGTAGACAAAAGCTAATTTCTGCAATCGAAAGATTTTGTGCTTGTCCAATTCTAGATATTTATTGTTTCAGAAAGGAATTCTAAGCGATACACTGAGAATCGCACCTCTGGATATCAATTCTCGATCTAATGAGGGTCCTATTCCACACGAGATATTAAAGGTGGAGCAGCGGGCTGTCATAAACACTACATACAAAGGTAGTACTTTCATGTTAAACTAACAGAATTAGATATGTGTAGGTCTGGCGTATACGTTGCAAGACGTTTCTTTGAAATAGGTCATTTTGTGCATGTCCTTACAGTTTGTCGAGTTCTTTCGTATATAATTATATCAAACTAACAAGTGATAAAAGGAAGAGTTTTGTGGAATTACGGCTCCTAAAAAAGTGCGAGCAAATTCAAATTTCGAGATGACAAAATACACCGACTATATTCTCATAATTGCCTTAGAAATACAAAATGGCAATAAAACCGTAATGGACGATTAATAGTTGACTTTTCTTTAGATTATTCTCAGGTAATATTGCGAGCGGCGGATGTTATGAGACAAGTTAGGGGTTGGTGATATTTATATTAAACGCAAATTACGTAACTATATTAGGGTCGTGTATTCTTCCATGGGATTAGTTTTTAAGTTGTTTTTTTATTTGTATCTATCCAAATGTAATTTCCGCTGATGGTAGTTCGACGTTTATTTTTACGGCCTATCCAGTTCAGGAAAGGACTATTTTCTTAGCCGGTTCTGACTGAGTTCAATCTAAAATCCCGACCTTTGCAAAAACACGATAATGTTGCCATGCACCATCAAAAGCTGGTTTCTTCTTCAGTTATCCTCTGTGCTAAGTATCGGGCAGCAGGCTATACGTTTGTAATTTGATTGCTATTCAAAGCAACACGAGTCAGTAGATCACGAATATTAATTACCAATTATGCCACCTTTTTCTTATTTTCTGACTTCGGGCTCGCAAAAGTCACTTTTCCTTTAGGGTTTATCGATGCTTCTCATTACAGTTGAACCAGAAATAAAGAACAGCAATGACACATTTTACGCAGAACTAAGGATTGTCGTCGATGATAATCACCGAGATGTCTTCAATAGTTCGGAAGATTTAGTGCAGTATTTAGCACTCGGCATGAAATTGGTAATGCTGCTTTTTCTTAATTAACCTCCGAATGCATGTGGTCTTTCGACTAGTCTCGGAAATACAATATATAAACGTTTTATATTGTTGATATCGATGTATATGTATAGTTTTGTGCATTAGCGCGATACTATTATTCTGTTTTGAATACACAAGTACCATATTTTCTGGTCTATGACTTCTTACGTTGTATGAGCCGCACTCCCTATAAACGACTGTTTTCGCAAAAAAACAAACAGTCTGTATATAAGTCGCACCTTTGTATAAGTAGAATTTATAGATGTGTACTGTCGGCGCGGTGAAGCTGGATTAGTGGGTCCGCATACGCAGGGTCCTTTTAAACTTAACATATTCGTTTAAAAGACTTCGTGGAAGCTACACTACTGCTGATTTCGAAGGTTATTTCAACGGTCCGGGGGGGGGGGGGGGGGGGGGGGCATAATATAGGGGGCTAATTGTTACGATAAGTAAAAAAATAGCTAAAATTTGTTCATTAACTTTCTAATCCCGCAAAATAGGCATATGATTACAATTAGAAAGTCGCTGAGCATGAGCGAAATCAACTAACTATGTAATTTTTAGGAAGACTCCAAGCGCGTTGGAAGCCCAGTAATACGCTAAAGTTACCACCCATGCGGCGTGCACAATGCCAGGGTTGATAAGAGAGGAAAAAACCGCGCGGGCGGCGTTGTCGCACCGTTCGCCTTGCTCCTACTGCACGAGTGGTGACTTCAGCACTTCAACGTGTTTCCCACGTGCTTCAAGTATTTCTAATATTGACTGATTTAGTGGGTTTCAATGACATTCACCGAGTTTCTAAGTGGAACGTATATTTATTTTCAATTTTTAGCACGTTAATTAACATGGTTTAAATAATTAGCCAACTGATCGTTAAACTGAGTCCTCTATAATTTAGATTATGTCCTCCTGGCCGTATAGGTCACCAGAGGTGCTATCCTAGTCGTAAACAAGAGCCTGACGTAACGAGAACGTTGGAGCGGAGCGTCAAACTAAAAAGATTGTTGTTTGAAGCTCCGCCCCAACGTTCAGGTTCATGCACGCGGCCTGCTAGAATCAGACATTCCCCTACATCGCAATGACGCGGCCACGCAGTTGGGGTGCCGAAATTCCCGCATTGCCTCCTATTATTTTTGCTCCCTTCTTTCTTTTCTTTGGGCGTTAGAACGAGCGAATAACGGAGAAAAGGCTACCTTCCGGAGAATAAAAGGAAACAAAGAAAAATATTATTTTTTTATAAAATGAGACATTATTTCAAAGATTTTAAGTAAAGTGTATTTAGCGAAGATATCTCAACTTGTTTTCTTGAAGTCTTTTTCTGCGGTCTTTCAAAACAAACATGGTGAAAACCGCGGTAACGACCTTGTGGTGTGTGTGCCTCGTTTACGTCGTTGTTTTCCCTGTTTCTGCACGATACGAATGGCATTACGGGAAGAAAACATTATCCTTTGTGAAGCCGCTAGGAACAGAAGCTGTAAATGAAATGTCATGTTTGCCAACGAAGGAAACTCCGAATAGATAGCGAGCTGACGGCAACGCTGTGCTAATAATTGACAACTCGCGATATCGACGCAAAGTGCACCGCTTGTGACTAGTCTGTGAATTATGCAGGAAAGTTTCTTTGGACAGTTTTAATAATGATTTGCTCCCCTTGTTTGCTACAGTGATAACGACGGTGGTCCCCGTAAGCCATTCTCTTTTCTTTCGTGGCTGATGAAATGGGCGCTACCGCATGATCCCGGGCAACCTTTTTGTCTCACTTTTTTAATTGAGCGAGAGGTCGTGCAGAAAAAAAACGAGAAAAAAAGAACGGCTTCCACGTCTTTATACGTTCCTACTTAGGTACGTCGCTATCCTATTGGCTGCAGTGCACGCGACAGTTCGACGCTCTTCGGCATGGAAACGTTCGCGAAATTAGGAAGCCTCCGTTTGCCGTTAACAGTCGCTTTTCGCGTTCGGGTTGTAACGACAAAATGACGTAAGAGTAAGAAGGCGCAGGATTATTTGCGCTGTTTAAACTTGACGACCGTACTTTTGGCGAAATAAACTCAAAAGAAAATGGACGCAAAACCTGAAAGAACATGACCGCGATTCTCGTCGGTTCGATCGCGGCTAAGGTTTGATATGCGATCGGTGACTTGATTCATCTCGCACGCGAATGCTTTTGTGGTGTTAAATGAACCCATTCGGCTGCAGGAGCGGTTCAAAGAGCACGGTGAGCTGGCGTTCAACGTCACCGATATAACCCTTGGCAGGATGCAAGACTTGGCTTTTATTTGTGCCGGTGTTATGAAGTTGAAAGTGGTGGGGTTGTGGCTCGTAATGGTGGCCCTGCTGAGATTATGAATACAGTAAAATACCGTCATGCAGCGTTTCCGTAGGTCAAGATTCAAAGTTTCACTTTGACACCAAGTGACCAACGTTTCCATGAGTACGGGGGCAGCAGCCAACGGTCCGAGAAAGAATTGTGTCGCCACCACGACCACCAGCGATCGCCCCAACGACAAGAAAAACAAAAAAACAAAAAAACGCGAAAAGCTCATTTAGGTTTGTGTAGCACTGACTGCTGATCCATCGGACGACAAAGCTGACTGATATAAAACGCAATGTAAATTTGCCAGCGTTTTGCAAAACTAACGGGTTTCGTTGAAACTTTAGTATGTGGTATTTGTTAACGCCATGGAAGTTTGACGGAAACTGCATTGTGAACGCAGCCTTCACACAAGTGTTTTCTGAAGCGTGTGTTTCGCCTGCATGCATGTAAAGCTACAGTAACTTTGCCTATACTGTGTCCTAACTGAAAAAATTTCCGCTTATTCTGATAACTTTGACTATCTATTGAGTGCTCTTGATACCACTGCAGTGGCGTAAACAGGAACTTTTGCGGAGGGGAGGGGAGAGAGGGGCCCAGGTGGCTGGGATGCTCATAACTTGGGGTGCGAAGGGAAAGTGGGGGGGGGGGGGGGGGGGGGGGCTAAATTAGTGTAAATTATCGGGCCGCTATATCCCCCCCCCCCCCCGCCACTGGCTACGTCACTGGTTCATGTTATATGATGGAGCATTTTGCATTCCCAGGGTGCCGTAAGCATGTGCATAGTCAATGAGCTCGTGCCAGAATACCAAGATTGTTGCAGACATGCTTCACGTTACGTAGTAGGTCTTTATTTAGTACATATGCTCGCTTTTCCTTCCCACGTCTACTTTGTTTCCGCTGGTCGTTTGCGCTTGAGGGCGATAAATCAACACTGCGTATTTGCTCTGCATCACAGGCAAATCTCTGAAATGCAATTCACGCTCTTTAATTTTAATGAGATATCGTCACGTTTGAAACGACAATCCAATTAAGTGGGATCATAATATTTTTGGTTAAACACACGTGTGTTGAAAGTAGAACCATGATCTACTTTACTGTTTTTCTTGGTCACGGAGGTGACAACTGTGACGGAGTCGCGTGAACGCCTCTAAAGGAAAGAGGAGAAAGAAGATCGATATACAAAAACTAAAAATGTCACTACTCCTCAACGGAGCCGGTCATTAAAATATAGCATTCGACGACTAATCAAGCATCGTCACACTTGGCGATAAAACGGCGACTCCGTAATTAAATAAACCTATGTGGGAATGGCGGTCGTTATCAAATTGCCCATTCAGCTCTTTGAATCAACGAGAAGGCTTAACTACAAAGTTAACAACGATAGACGAAGACGGCGCAAAAAGCTGCAGTGATGCGTCGTTGCAAGCTAAATTTGGGGTGGCAGTTGCACGGAGCGAAGAACTTCAGAGGATCTTTTCGAAGAGGGACGAAAAAATCAATCGATTGAGGCAACGCATCACAGAGCTTCCTAGCCGACAACAGGCTGTAACCGCATCGACGCCTCTCTACTCCGCAAGTGCTGCTGGGGATAGCGTTTCCTTGAAAGCAGTGAAGACCCTAGTGTGTGGATTACTATCCCCAGTAATCGAGAGGCCCAACTGCTTGGAATCCCCGAGCTCGAGAAGTAGAGTAGATTGTTGGGCTAGTTGGTTTCGGAACTTGGAATAGATTTTAGCGCTCAAAACCAAAAACAAAAAGACGAAAATCAGACACCACAGCGCACTGTGGTGTCTGATTCTCGTCTTTTTGTCCTTGTTTTTGAGCGCTAAAATGTATTCCAAGCTCGAGAAGTAACTCTAAAAGCAGCGACGAGGGCTCCAACCAGCAAGGGCAGCCGCGGTCGCCGCATACCTAAATACAAGAAAGCGTCCTAAACTAGTGCACCACATCTGAAAGCAAAGACAAGGGCTCGCAGCAGCAAAGCCAGGGGAGAGTCCTGGGAGATTCCATCAACTATCGAGTTCAGCCAGCCACTGTGCAGCTCCCCTTCACTTTACTGACGTAATTGATGCTTCCATCAGGTCGAATTTTGGCTGAAAATTTACTGGGTGCTGGAAGATATCTCATTGCCGCTGCTCATGTCAAAACTGCCTTCCAAAAACTTTGCTTGGATGCGCCTTGAGCTTAACTCGAAGAGTGTGTCGAGTAACGCCGCAGTTAACCTAGTTACACGACTTCCGCCATGTGCTATGTAGGTCATACGTGGTAATACGTCACTTCCTCTTCACCGTCCAAACTCCAATAGTGACAGTTACGGCAAACAGTTGCTTCCGTGTTTAGTGAACGTTCCCATGGCAACCGCATAGAATTATCACGCACGAAGTGGCCAATCGGTTCGGTGTCCAGGGGGGAGAGGTTTCCCCGTTCACGCTTTGACCAGGATAGCACCCCTGCCGAAACCACATTAGTATAGCTTTAACAGCTTTTTTCAAACAAATATGTTAACTTTAAAATAAAAAAAAAACTACGTATATACTGTGATTGCCATATCATTGCCAGCGGGAACCAGTTTTAATATCATCACAACAAAATCGAACGAGAAGCACCACCGCGGCGACAAATTTTCGTAGAGGTAGATATGTACAGAATGAAATACATATAAGTCGCATAGCAGATGACGCACCGACGGATGTTTTAGAAATTAAAAACGCACCTTATACGTCGGAAAATATGCTACAAATATAGCGCCAGTCTCTTTCTTTTTTCAACATAAATATATATTTGTTTATTTTTCGTTTTCAAGGTTGTGAAGAGAGGGGGGGAGGGGGTCGAATTAGGTCGAATACCGTGGCACGTAAAATTTACAGCCGACTGTTCAAGTACATACCTGTTTTCTCATAAAATTTAGAGTGTCGCGAGTCAAATTATTTTGATGTGCATAACTTCGAAGTAATTTGCTGAGAAAGTATTCGAGAGGAAGAGATTACAGCGCGTGGGGGCGTCAGAACGACAAGCTCTGGTTGGAACGAGTATTGGCATGGGCGTACCAACCGGCGGAGCAAGGGGGCGCTTGCCCCCATCCCCCCCCCCCCCCCACAGATCTCAGAAGGGGGGGCAAAACATGTGTTCTGCCCCCCCCCCCCTCCCCCCCTGAAACAGTCACCACTGGGCACGGCAAACACTCTCCGGCTGCCCGGTGGCGCCCAAGAGATATAAAGGGCACCGCCCCCCGGCCCTTGGGGGGGGGGGTGGTCTCGTTTGTCCCCCCCCCCCCCCCCCGCTCAAAAAGCAACTGGGTACGCCACTGAGTATTGGTTAGATCTAAAGCAAGTTGCCTTTGTCTGCACTCTACTCGTGGAATGTGTTGGAAGGCGGAATGCAGGCGTCCGGCGTTTGGCTTTCGCATTCGAACGCGTTCAACGAGTACAGCGGAAACAAAGGCAACTAGCCTTAGGTCTACCCACTAACATAGCCTCACCTATACTGACGAAGCCTGGCAGATCGCCACGAGAAGCGGCAGCCGAAATTGAAAAGCTAGAGCGGCAGACAACGGATTAGAGGAGAGCCACGTGGCGGGCGCCCCGCTGCGGCGACACGCCGAAACACACTTCTTCCGAGCGATGGAATGCCTGCTCATGCTTCTCACGTTCCTCGGGCTACGGCAATTCCTTTTTGGTCAGATTCAAAACCCATGTCTCAGGTCCTCGCCGCTGCAAAAGCTGTGTGCTAACGTCCAGACTCCCCGAGAAACGCTCTGTGCTACCAGATCCTCGCGCTCTAAATGTGCAACCGGGCATTCTGCGGCTCCGTCGTCGAACTGCCAGGCTTTGGGAGCATAGAGGAGGCTATGCCACTTATCATTTCAACCAGAGCTCGACGTTCTGGCGTCTCCTCGCCCTCTCGTTTTCTTCCCCTTTCTAAATTTCTCGGCACATACATCGGGATTCTATGTCGGCATTCGGTTTCTAATCCGCATTTTGCTTCACCTAACTTCTTGCAATGAATAAAAGCTAAATTTTAGTCGGGCGCACCTGGCTAGTTTCTATAATAAAACAATTCTTTCAAATTAAACTTTGTAGGTCAATATTCGATACGAAGAAACGTCGAAACCGAAAGTTCAGTTCCTTCTGACTACAGTTGAAGTAGCGGTAGGTACACTTTACAGCAAAACTGGCTTACACTCAGAGTCTAGACACAGCCATTGATATATTTTGTATTTTGTTTCATAGAGGACTGAGTTTAGCGATGCGCAATTCATTGCTGCTGACGTGGACTGCCCAAGTCGTTCTCAAAAATATTATATGAATCCAATAAACATGATCGAAAAAGCTGTAAAGCTTTACGGGAACGGCAAAGAAGATATTACCGTTGTTATCACATCGTAAGTACTTGCTATTACGTAGCAACCTGGACAACAGGATGTCAACATACATTATCATCTTTAGACGCGCTGTTTCTTCAATGTGGACTATACGGATCGGGTAAGCTTTGAGATATAAGTATGATCAATCAGCTGCACTGGCATTTTGTATGGGGGCTTGGAATGGAGTAAGAATGCCCGCTGTGTGTTTTTCTTCCGGTCCTCAATAGTAAGGTGACCGTAGAAGAGCCATCGCTAAACATCGTAAGTGTGAGAAAGTAATCGTGTGCGAGCGAAACCGTTGCCTTGTCTGGTATTATTTAAGATTATCGCATTTGTGATTTGTAGTTCCATTAAAACCTGTCAAAGCCTCACCATAACGCTACACCAGTGCATTTTATAAAACACAGGATCGTTGGACTCAACTATAATAGTGCACTTTACATTTTCCAGAGTATCATTTATCAACAAGAGTAAGACAAAATGCATTTAGTCGACGTTTTCACTGGTGTATCTGGAACTTGCCTAGGATCAACCAACCGTGTAAAGTTTTAATTAGTTATTTAGGACACATGTAAGAAATGCGAGCGTTATAAGAAAGCTCTAAGCCACAAAGTATACCTCAACAAACCCGCTCGAAAGACACGTTCTTCCCTGAGGTCTTTACGTTCAAGATTTAGGGCTGGTTTATGTCCAGTTAATGTTTTTTTTTTTAGAACGGAATACTTCACAGCACCTTATCCAGGTGTTCACTACTACGTGAAAGGCCTCTAAACACTGTTGCTGCAGTAGAAGTTTTATGGTCCCTAATTCCAAAGACCAGGCGTAATTGCTGAAATCCAGCTACTGGCTCCAGTAGGTTTCGTTGGAACACATTCGCATTTTTACATTTTTTAATTACACCTCATTTTCACCGAGCGCAAAACTACTTTCGATTTTCTTCCTTTCAGACTTCAACCTTTCTCAAAACAACCTTTAATGTTTTGAGTGTTTCTAAAATGATTTTTTTATTTATTTATATCTATCTTTCAACAGTTTTATAATTTCAACCCGTTTCAATAGAACATTCGCTTTTCAAACTTTCTCAAAACAACAATCTCTTTCCAAGCTTTAAAATAAAAAAAAAATGTTTAAGCCCGCGTGACGCAAATTTTTTTTCAAAACATCATTGTATGTCAGTGTCTCGGCATAGACATGTATATGACCATTAGACATAATAATGTAGGGCAAAACAATCTTTCAGCCTTTCCAATTCGGTGGAGAAAGAAGAGCAGCGGAGCTGGTAGCTTCTGTTCTCGGCGGTGGCTTTCCAGGCGAACGATTTGCTCCTCCTTCGCAAAGGAATCTGAAGCGCTCGACGCAGTGGATATTGAGGCGATAGAGGCGTCGTTGCGGTTGCCGAACCATTTGCGCTGCTGCGCACATCGCCGCTTGTTCAGCTCCCGCTTTTCTTTCTCGGAAGAAAGGTTGCTGCCATCTATGAGTGACGGCGGTAATCAGTTGTCTGGTTGCCGCCGTCGCTTATAGATGGAGGTAGCTGTCCAGAATTCGGTGTCATAATTTTTAATCAGGCAGACAGGATTCTGGGGAAACTAGCCCTTAACAGCTCCGCTGTAAAGAAAAAAAAAGACGCAACAATACATTACTATTCCCCTGAAATGAAGCCCAGCTCACGTCCTTCAGGCAACTGGAGGCCACCAAACAAATCAGCCTGGTTCGGGAATTCATCCCGGGACCACTCTAACCCTAGAAGATCGCTCTGTCAGCTGAACTAACCAGGTTGCTGGCCTTCATTGGAGAAAACGAATACTGTCATGAACGACAAGTGATGAGGAGGCGAATGACCGAGTAAACTGAACGTTTAGTGGGGCCAGCTTGTGCCTAAAACAAAAAGAAAACGAAGGATAACGACACAGCGTCGCGGGTGTCGAAGTCGGCGTAACAGCTGGATTGAACGCTAGGGCGGGAAACTGACTCCGGTCTGCCACGCGGAGCCCCTTTTGTACACGCGTGGGCTTCTGGAACAATCGACGTAGAAGGTTCGGCGTGTAGAACATTCTAACCTCAAATCAGTCAACACGGTTTTTGAATTTACCAGAACATTACATTAGATTCAACAAAAATGCGTCCCCGCGGCCAGGAATTGAACCCTGCGCTTTCTGCGTGGAAGGTAGGCACAATAACCGTTAAGCCACGCGTGCGTTTTTTCTTTTAAATTTCTTTTATTGTATTTTGACAACACCGCTTGGTCAAAGAGCGCTTAAAAGACCGTCAACCGAGCTTCGGCTGACGCGGTCGGTTAAAATTCTTTCAAGGTTGCCATATTATCTAACAGTGGTAACCACTCACACCCGGGACAGTCTATCTTACAAACGTCTCGCAGAGTGCACACATTTGAATCAAAATAACTGCGAACTGGCTGTACATCAATATCAGCACGCCTCGCAGCCATTCGACTCCGCCATGTTGCGTGCAGGCCCAGGACCATCGCTGTATCATATGGAAGTCCCTCCTCACAGTCTACAGACAAAAACAGGATTTCATGGGCTGTCAACGGTAGGTCCTTCTTTAACGTCCGCTGGAGGACATCCCAAAAGAAGATGGCATCCCAGCAGTCCAGTAAGGCGCGCTCTATGGACTCCGGCTTTTAGCACAAAATACATTTTGTTGACCAAGCAACGAACAAGCCCTTCTCCTCCATCCACGTTTAAACCGGGAGCTTCCTGTGTGTAGTTTGAAGAAAAACGTCTTCACAGTCGCTGGGCTTACCATCCTCTTAACTCGAGAAAGAATATCCTGCCCTTGGCCTTCCCGATACAAGGATCGGTATATTGGCATCGCAAACAGCATTTCTCTTAGATGTTCTTACAAGCACTTTCATGAAACTGTCGAAAGATATTCAAATGATAATGGCGAACCCAAAAACCTTACGGAACTTACAACTTCTTTAAGACAGCCGGTGACAGTGTAACACCCGTCATCAACTCAGGAAACCACAAACTCAGGCAGCTCATAAGGCGACACTACTTGAAAAAAGGTCATTAAGAAATCTTCTGCTGCGTCTCTTAGAAATAAAAAAAAAAACGGTTTACGATTTTTCGCAGCAATATATGGCACAAACTAACACCTCCAGAACGAACAGTGCGGAACAGACAGCTTCTGCTGGTTCGCTCCCATCCTGAGTTCCACACAAACACTGCAAAAATGCGATGCATTTTTTGTACATGCAACCGGGAACAATGAAGAACAATGAAGTACAAAATTTTTGCCACAGGAAATAGATTGTAGACCGATGCTCTGGTGAACACTGATAATTCACGTCCACCCCACTTGGTTGTTTTTTCTCTAAGCTTTGAAGTTTCTTCGCACCAGTATTCGTTACTATTACGATAAGATTCCAAAGGCACGCCTAGCTACCGAACTGGAGAGGGTGACCACTTTATGGTCTCAAACAAAACCGGCGCTGATGCCCACTTTTCGCGCCAAAACCCAGAGCACTTCCCCCAGTTCACCGAGCTGTTGGTGGCAGCACAAAATTCCTTGGTTATGGCTATTACATTGCTCACACTTTCTGCGTTTTCACAGAACGCAACCACATTATCAGCGTACGTCAGAAGTCTTACTTCGCTGGAGTGCAACCTGAAACCTAGCACACTTTCACTCTGGGTAATCTTCAGACAAAAGGGCTCCAGGAAAATTCAAAACAAAAGCGGCGACAAGGGACATCCCTGCCGAACAGACGACAACACTGGTATTCTTTCAGACACACTTTTGTTTACTATCAGCTGCGTCGAGCAGTTCTGACACGCCATACGTATTCCAGCTAAGAGGACGTCACCGACCTTTAGATCTTGCAAGATACAAAAAAGAACCTCATGGAATACATGGTCGAACGCTTTTTCAATATCAATTAAAAGCGTTGCCACTTTGCGAAGCGTCAAATCGCAGCACTGTAAAACATTACGGGCAACATGAATGTTCGTCACGATACTCCTGCAACGAATACCGTACGTCCGATGCGATCCAACGATCGAAGTTATTACTCCTTGCATACGCCTTGCTAAGACGTTCATGAGTATCTTGTAGTCGACATTCGCTAGCGTGATTTCTCAGTATCGTGTCACTGACTGAAGCTTAACCTGGTCGTCACGTGCGGGATTAGAACCCTATGCGTGCGCGAAAAAGATGGTGGCAAAAGTTGTTTAGCATAAGCCTCTTTAAACACGCAAAATAAAAAAAAAAAGGCGGCTTGGTCTCTAAACATTTAAAAAAAATCTGCAATTATGCCGTCCGGGCCCGGCGATTTTCCACTTTTTAACTCGTCCTTCGCTTTATGTATCTCGTTCATAGTGATCGGCTCTTCTAGTTTTTTTTCTTTGTCTCTTCCTCTGACTGGGGCATTGTTGGAAGTAATCTTTGTTTAAAGATGTCTATTTTCGTACTGTTTTTGCTGAGAAGGTTCCTGTAATAGTCTACAAACGCTTCTTCCACGCCTATCCTATTACGTGTAAGCTGTAACAGACATTTTCTCGATTTCATTTTCCTTCGCATACTTCATTTCAATACTCAATGCTCTTTTTGTAGGCATCTCCCCAACCAATAGGCATTCAGCACGTGTTCTCACTGCAGCCCCTTCGTGTCTCTCCTCATCTAATCCATCCAGTCTACTTTTTATATCTGCTATATCATCTCGAAACTATCCGGGCGTCAGGCACTTAAGGTTAAGTAATTTTCCAAGGTTAGAACGAAGTTTTTGTTTAAGTTTGAGACCATAGCCATAACCATAGCCCCTTGGTGTCTCTCCTTATCTAATCCATCCAGTCTACTTTTTATATCTGCTATATCATCTCGAAACTATCCAGCCGTCAGGCACTTAAGGGTAAGTAATTTTCCAAGGTTAGAACGAAGTTTTTGTTCGTTCTCTTTTTTGATGGGCTTTAGATTTCCTGCTCTCTCAATGGAACATTTCCGAGAAGCGTTCTGTGCACGCGTGAGCGCTCGATGCAAAGCGGAGGAAGTCG